TTTTAACTAAGGTATTTAGTAAGAATAATTATCATATTAAATCCTAATTAAAATAATTTATAAACAACAAAGATTGAACACCCACAAAATTTATTATTATTATTATTATTATTATTATTATTATTATTATTATTATTATTATTATTATTATTATTATTAATCTTTGTTAATGATTGAATTGGGTTAATTTAAAATTAACCTATACACTAATATAAATAAACTCTGGATAAAATTAATTAATTGATTTCATTATTATTATTATTGTTATTATTATTATTATTTTTAGAATAATTAAATGCGGGTTTTCACAGAGACATGCCTTCTGCATGAATGTCATGCAGAATGAATTGGAGATCTTGAACTTGACTGATCACAGTCTTAGAATCAACCATTACAAACTCCAAAAATTTTCCTACCACGAATTTCTTCAAGCCAACATCTTCCGTTTTATACTTTTTCTCCAAAGACTTCCAAAATTCCTTTGCTGTCTTGATGGGACTGTAGACATTATATAATGTGTTGTCAAGTCCATTCAAGATGTAATTCCGACAAAAGAAATCAGCATGTTTCCAGGTATCGACAACAGCAATTACTTACCGGTTGATTTCATCCTCTTTTAGAGTAGGAGCATTTTCACGGAGGAAACATGTCAGGTTGAGAGTAGTAAGATAAAATAACATTTTCTGTTGTCATCTCTTAAAATCAATTCCTAAGAACTTCTCTGGCTTTTCACTGTGATTAACTAGCACAATCACAACAGGAGGGAGGGTTGAAGCAATTACAGCCACCATACTAGTACTAGTTTGAGCATTAGTTTCAGTAGCCATGAATTCTAAATTATAAAACAAAATTAGAATTAGAATTTTATACTACACATAAAATTTAAACCAAAACCACAGAATTTAATTTTGTAAAAATAAAAGAAACAATAATTGAAACTTTTATTTCCAATTAATTTTAAAAATAAAATATTTATTTAAACAAATTAATTCCACACAGAAAAATATTTCTGTAGCACTTCAAAAATTAAAATACTAAAAACAGAATTTAATTAATGAAAACTAAAAAGTTATTTCTGAAAACCAAAATTAATTTCTAACCAACTTCACAAATAAATATTATGAATTGTTTTTTGACTACCAGTCTATTACTACTAGTTGTCAAAGAAAATAAACAATATATTACTACTATTTTTCAAACAGTATATTACTACTATTTATTTTTTCAACCAGAATATTTATTTTGTATAAGCACAGAAAAATAATTTATGTAAGAAGAAGAAAAGAAACAAACGAAAATTTCTGTTTAAACAGAATAATTCGAATCTGTCCTAAGATTGTAGGAATAATTTTCTGTGTAAAATAAATAACATGAAACAAATCAAACAAATAAAAATAAATTACTTACAGAATTTATTTACCGAAATGAATTAACAATAAAAAAAGCCGATCAAGTTGAGTGTGTGACACTCCATCCTTGAGACAAATTTGCCCCGCTCCGGTGCTTACGGATAAATGATGTCTATCTCCCAAGATACAATGATCTACACAAATTGTAATAGCACTCCAAACAATTTGTACGGCGAACTAGAACATGTGTTCTATACTCTCAAAATTTTCTATAAAACTAGTATGAAGAATATATGTATGCAAGAGAGCAAAATGGAAGAAAACAAGAAAATTTCAAAATCAACAAATTGCTGGAAATGGCCTGGTATTTATAGGTAGATAGGTGACCATTAGATCTGTCCGAATAGATACAATTTCGAAATGAACAGGTGCAAGAAACTTGAACAGATCTGCTGGCAGTTTTGAATCTGTCCATAACAGTTAACTGCTGGGCAGTTTTATAACTGTTAAAAAATAGTTTGAACCTGCTGGAATTGGACTGGAAAGGCACTGTATGAACCTACTGGACTTAGACAGGAAAAATTGAATTCAAATTTGGTACAAAATTTGAATTAATTTTATTCAGAAAAATTAATTTTTCCGCAAGAATTTTTGGAAAAATTCTAATAAATTTTGTCCCAAAAATTAATATCAGAACCGATCCGACCCACAACCTACACCTGGGCCTGGCACAGCTGGTTGGACTACGACGGCGCGCGTAGTGGTTTGAGCCAAGGTTCACTTTGTCTATAACTCCTCCATTCTACAAATTTGGGGTGTCCCTTGAGACCTAACCCAAGTGTTGCCACCTAGAACTTATATACACATATAAGTTCTTTTAAGTTTTCAATGTGAGACAATCCTTTTCAAGAAAACCCACATTTACTTCTTTAATTTCTCTTTCTACGAACTCGAAAACGACGTCAAGTTCCCATTCACTCATAAATGGGTTTGACGAACCGTTTACACCGTGTGACTTGCCATGCGGCAAGGAACACGTCACCTCTTTAAACCCACCCCAAAAGACATTTGGGGCCCACTCAAAATTGGGCTCAAAATTGGCCCAAAATAAGCTTATAAAACATATCTTTCCAACAATTTTTTCTTTTTCATTACATAAAAGGAAAATACCATCACTAAAAGTAGAAATTTACAACAAAGAAGATAACATCATACCAATTATACATGAGGTTAGCATATTTTAAATCGTCATGACACGAACTCAATTATGACACGACAAGATAACATATCAAATAAACGGACCAAATTGGTATATCAAACCAACATAACATGAAATTAGCATGGAAAACTTGTTTAATGAAGGATTAGTTATGTCTTTTAATATTATTTCTACTTACGGGTAGGGCTATGCAAAATATCATCATAACCGCTAAAATTGCCTAATTTGTATCGATCTGCACGCTAACCACTAGTTAGTTTGATCCGCGGTTTGAAATTTATAATTCGCTTTCAAAACCGTCCCCTTCCATTATAGTTAACTCATTTTTTTTTATAACCTTTAATAAATATCAAAGTTAGGAATGGCAATGGGTCGAGGTGGGGCCGAGGATTACACTCCCCGTCCCCGATCCCCGAAGGTATAAAGTTCTCCATCCCTATCCCCGCCCTTGCCCCCTAACGGGGATCAGGTTTCCCCGACCCCGAAAAATCCCTGACCTTTTCTTTTTTTTTGAATTTTGCATATTCCATTTTATTTTATTTTTTTTAGGCAAATAAAAATAATATATATAAAAGTATAATCTAGCAATGTCCAAACATAAACATCTAAATAACAACATGACAAACAAAATACAAAACAACACCCACACCACCAACAAAAAAAAAAAATCCAAACAATACCTATTTTTTGCTTTAAAAAAAAAAAAAACACCACTTGTGAATTTTGCAAAGTAGCATGCACAACCAACATTATTAGCTAAGTTAACTTCTAAAATCAATAGGCATTTGGGTCCATCCCCTCAAAATAATCCATGCAACATAATATCTTGATTGTCAAATGTCCAACCAAAAAAACAAAAACAAAAACAAAAACAAAAACAAAAAAACAAAAAATAGTAACTTCAGTTTGGGGCGGAAATTGTGAGGGAGTCGGGGATGGGGATGGGCCGGGGCCGGGGCCAGGACAGGAGAAGCTATCACCGTCCCCGACTCGAAAATTGTCGGGGATTCATTTTCGAATACCATCCCCGGCCCATTAAGAGTATTTTTGAAGGAAAAACCATTCTAATCGAGATCGGGGGGCCGGGTCCCACTACAGGAAATGCCACTTTTAGCGACCAAAATATTGGTCGCCAAAAGCCCCATTTTTGGTCGCCGAAACAAATTAGCGACTAATATTTTTTGTCGCCAAAGTCGTCGCCTATAGCCTGTCGGCGATAGTATTGGCGACTAAACTATTTTTGGTCACTGAAAGTGAACGTTTTGGCTACTAAACTCTGGTTAGTCGGCAAAGGTTATCTTTTGGCGACTAATATATTAGTCGCCAAAAGTGAATATTCGGCTACCAAACTCTGAGTAGTCGGGAAAGGATATATTTTGGCAACTAAATATTTAGTCGCCAAAAGTGTTCAAATAAAATAAATTAAATTTTCAGCGACTAAAACTTTTTGTCGGGAATAAGTTTTAGTCACAACATTACTACATTTAGGGACTAAAGAATTTAGTCGCCAAAAATATTATTTCTCATTTTATTAAACTTTTAGCTACTAACCATTTAGTCACTAAAAGCGCGTGGTGACTTTTGCCGACTAAAACTATTCGTAGCCAAAAACCTATTAAGATTCATTTCTTTACTTTTTGCCACCAAAAGTTTTAGTCGCCAAATAATACCCTTTCTTCCGTGACTAAAAAATTTAGTAGCCAATAGTTTATTTCTCTTATTCTCAAATTTTTTAGCTACTAATTATTTGGTGGCAAAAACATTTTGGGTTATGTTTTTGCTACTAAATTTTTAATAGCCAAAACTTTTGATTACTTATTTGGCTACCAAAACATTTGGTGGCCAAATAATTTTCTATTTTTTTTTTTTAAAAAAAAAAAAATTATAAACAACCTGTATTCATTTATATTACATGTACCCTGTATAAACAATATAATCCATCAACACTAAAATATATTATCAACCATTAAAGCATTCAACATAATACATGAATAACCATGATTTAAATCCATACATAATACATGAATAACCAACGTCAATAATTTAAATTACAACATGTACCCTGTATAAACAATATAATCCATCAACACTAAAATATATTAGGGTCAATAATCCATACATAATCCATACACTCCAAGTCTAATCCAACGTCAATAATTTAAATCCATACATAATACATGAATAACTAAATTAATTTGTTCGAACCACTATATATACAAATAGAGATATAAAAACAATGCCCTCCCGTAATTGTCAAAAAATTATATATCCACATTTGTATGTCCAAAATCATCTAAAAAAAAAATAAAATTCATTAGTTGGGTGCCTATAAAATGTTAAGAAGGCTTAAAAGCTTTCCCTGTTAATGACATAGATATTCTTACATATAACACTTCTATGTTGAGATATCAGTTCCACAAATTAACTCTACATTTTAGTTAAAATAAGGAGAGAGAAACAATTTATAAAATTAAATGTCTCAGAGAAACAATAGAAAAATAATGATATTCACACAACACTTTTAGAAAAGGGCCACCACATATGTGACCACACTCAAATGTCTGCCAACTTCCTTTATTAAATAATCAAATATAGGATATATTATGGCAGAATGATCTATAATCACCGAGAGCTTCAAATTCTTACCATAACACAACACAATAATCTGCTACCCTCTCAATCAAGAACGCAAAAGGATTTAATTACTTATGACAAATAGATTTTACGTGGAGCCTTCTATAAACATATCCATTACCTTCCCACTTCTCAACTTCAAGCACTTAAAGCAAACCAGGCTCAACAACCGCTTCAGTTCGCTCACATGGGAAGGATGATATACTGGAATTGGTAATTCTATACACCCAAAGTGACCTGAAAGGTAAAAAAATGAACAAAACTTTAGCAATACTTCAATGTGTCCAGATTGGGCCAAACCTAGAGTGGCATATATTTCCTTAGTTTCCCTTAATCATCATTAGGTAAATCACACATTTTGATCTTCAAATTCCTTTTAACATGAATCCCAACCCTCCATTTTATGGCTCCCAAAAGAAAAAAATGACCATTAAAACATTATGAATAAAACATTAAAACATGACCATTCTTCTTTTTCTTCTTCTTTCCTGACAAAGTAAAAAATTAATTCTTGTAAGAAAAACGATGACATACTCCAATGCATAAGGACCAACTTGTTTCTCTCCATAATGACATACTCCAATGAGTCTACCCCTCGCACAACAATAGGTAAAACCAACAACACCTCACATGGCCATTTTTTCAGCCCCCTAGCTTACATTGTATAGGATTAGGATTTGAACTAATACTACTAAGGGAAAATTACATATCAATGGAAAGTTTACAAAATATTAACATATCAGTCAAATTCACTTTACAGCCATATATAACACCGTAACGAGCGAGACTGCAGTTTGAATGTTTTTAAGGATTGGATTTGGGATGGCCAAATTAATCCCAATACCCAGACTGGGCCAAACCTAGAGTGGCATATATTTCCTTAGTTTCCCTTAATCATCATTAGGTAAATCACACATTTTGTTCTTCTAATTCCTTTTAACATGAATCCCAACCCTCCATTAATTAACCCAGATCACTTCCTATAGCTCTGCTTCTGCTAACTTGGATATCCGCAGCCTATATGCAAAAAACTGAACTACTTCTTACTAATCGTCAGAGAATATATGTATACATGCTCTTTTAACAAAGAAGAGGATGGTCAGAGAATTCTGGAACAAGTGCCTTGATCAGTTACGAGTGTTATCTCATGGTGCTTCAAAAGTGGAAGGACTTGACAGTGGTAGAGATGAACTTCTCTATAACCCTCTTTTTGGTATAAATAAGTGGTTTGCCGATAGGTAATCTGACAACTACAAACAGTTTGAAGATTCATTGGAGAGGTTGCACAAGTGGAAATATGATTAATGTAACCAAATCAAACTGTTGAATTAATGTAACCAAATCAAAACCACCAAATCATAGAAATCGATTTAATTCAGTTTGATTCTACAATTTCAGAACCAAAATCAAACTGCCTTCTAAAAAATGAACCAAACCGTGTGATTTGGACCAGATTGAGCAGGTTTTTACCCATTCTACCAATTTTGCAATGCTATTTCATGCCCCATCAGACCTAGAGAGTACTACATTTGGAGATGCAACCACTCCTTCCCAAGAAATGCTGATGCAATTCAATTTCACCGGGGAAGACTAATACAAATATTGTGCCCAGCTAACATTTAGCAATGATATAAACAATGCCAATTCAAGGTGAAATCAAACAACAGTATGGGTTAATATAATTAGCCAAACATGACGAACCAGACTTTCGAATGTATGATGTATTTTACATATGTTTACATTACACCGCCACAAAAGTCTACCAACACAGGATTTATTCATTAGTGAAGTAAAATACAAGGCAAAACTAGGAGTGAAAACAAAGCTACACAAACCTTCTGTATCCTTCGCTTGCTAAAAAAGCTGTAATGCTTCCTTTCGTTCTTCAGATCATGTTATCACGAATTTTCTGAAACCAACTCTGTCCATAATTGTCGAGTGTGGGGTGCCAAAATGGTGATTTTCTGCTGAATGGCCTTGGAATAAGGTCGTCAGGGAACAATGATGTTCATAAATTTTCTCTTGGCGAATGCCAGCCACCATTTATTTGGTGCGCCATTGGGCCTGTATGCAACGCTCAAGAGTCTCCCACTTGTTTCCTCCCTTATCTGTTTCAAGTAATTCCTGAAAAGCTCTGCAACCAATTTTTATTACAGAAAGAAGAGAAGGAAGATTCAAGTTTAGAACTACTAAAACAGTCGCAATGTATCAGCATACATAAATATCTAAATGGTACAAAATTAAACAATCTATTCAGCTTTTCTCAACAATTTTTTCATTAAAGATCCTTAAATTGTAAAATTGTGTGTCAACAGCATTTGAAATTTCCTATGCAGGGCTGATTACTGACTGAGTTCTAACCAATTCATTCTACAAGCATCAATACGTATCGAGAACACAAAGTATGTTTATGCATGAAATATTAGGCACATAGGACAAAGAGAGAATAACAACACAAACCAAACCAATGAACTGGTTACACCTGCAACAACACAAAGTATGCTTGCAAAATGCTGACTCATTTTCCCATCTGGGTACACCTGCAACAATTTGTAAAGGTAAAAGGCAATAAAATTTCAAAATAGCTGCATATCTATAGAGCAAAGAGCAGAAGGAGAAGGATGACAATCGCCTGTTTAGGCAGAGAATCACTCGAAATCCAGAAGAGCAAGTGGTTGAAACAAGGCAATGGAGGCAGTGAGCCCAAGGAGAGAGAGAGAGAGAGAGAGAGAGAGAGAGAGAACACAACCAATTTTGTGATTGTATATCTCCTGAATCGCATGTTCCAAGATCTTCCAAGTCTTCTCTGCGTATTTCGGATCCACCACGACCCGATGTTTAAAAGCTTCTATCTGAAAATTCCTCTTCTTCTGAGCACTCATCGTCTCTCCAATTCCCCAAACCAAACTGATTGAATTTCGAAGATCGAATCTGCGTTGATTAGGGTTTGAAAATTCACGATTGTCAGTGACTTAGTTTATTGATGATATGGATAACGAAAGTAGTGAATTAGGGTTTGGAATGAAGAGAGTTGATGGAGGAATGTGGGAATTGATAGATGAAATGTGAAAGCAGCAAGAGATTGAACCGAATAAGAAGAAGAAAATGACGCAACTATTTTTGTCTTCTCATCTGAAAAAAAAAAAATTGTTTGAAAGAGGGGCGCGGGCGCCAATATTCAGTTCCCTCTAAAACAAAAAAATTGTTTCTACCTTCAGCGACTAAAATTAAATTTGGTCGCCAAAGAATAATCAATACCGACTAAACTTTTTGTAGCCAAAAGTGAAATGTAGCGAAAAGACCAATTTAGGGGCGGGGATGAAAAATAAAAATAAAAATAAAAAAATAAATAAATTTATTTTTTGTTAAAATATATATATTTTTTGTAGTTAATGAATTTTTTAATTTTTTTTTTAAGTTATTAAGATTGAAAATTTATTTGTTTCATTTTTATTTCAATGAAAAAAAATATTATTATTTTTTATTTTGTAGAAGTAGGGGTAATATATATTTTAATGAAAAATATTTTTCACTAAAATAAAAGTTAATTTTCTGTAATCAATGAAAAATATTTTTCTGCAGCCTTTTTTTTTATTACTAAATATCATGAACTAATTTTTTGTGGTAGAGGAAAAGGATCGGCAACAGTAGTGAAGGTGGTGGATAAGAGATGATGGTGGTGGTGGTGGTGGTGGTGATGGTGATGGCGAAAGAAATTAGTGGTGAAGTTGTGGTAATGGTAGTGTAAATGGAGTGGCAGGGGTGAAAGAGAGGTAATGGTAGTAGTAGTGGCAGTAGTGGTAGTGGTGGTAATGGAGTGGTGGCAATGGTAGTAGTAATGGTAGTCGTAGAGGTGAAGTTGGTAAAAGAGATGAGTAGTGAGAGAGAGAGAGAGAGGAGGGGGAGACAGAGAGAGGAGAGAAAGCGAGAGAAGTAATAGTGGTGGTGGAATGGTGTTTGCAGTAGTGGTGAAGGTGATAGCAGAGATGGGTGATGAGAGAGAGTGATAGACAGAGAGACACAGAGATGAAGGAGAGAGTGATAGACAGAGAGACACAAAGATAGAGAGAAGAGAGATGAGCGAGAGAGATAAAGAGAAGAGAGATGAGCGAAAGAGACAGAGAGAGAAAAGAGATGAGAAAAGATATGAAAGAAGAGATAGATGAGTGAGAGACACAGAGATGAGGGAGAGAGTGAGAAAGAGATAGAGAGAGACATATAGAAAAATAGAGAGAAACAAGCGATGAGAGAGATATATAGAAAGAGAACGAAAAGAGATGAACGAGAGAGAGAACAGAAAAATAGAGACATAGAGAGAAGACAAATAAGAGAGATAAAAAGAAGAAAGATGAACGAAAGACACACAGACAGATAGACAAACAAACAGAGAAATAAGAGTGACGAGTGAAAGAGAGAAAAATAAGAGTGGTGGTAGTTGAATGGCATTTGCAGTAGTGGTAAATGTGGTAGAGAAGATGGGTGGTGAGAGAGAGAGATGAGTGAGAGACGAATAGAGAAAAGAGATAGAGAGACAGAGAAAGAGACAGAGTGATGAGCAAGAAAGAGACAAAGTGGTCGCTAAAAGTGCATTTTTTTATAGTGGATCGATAAATCGAAAGGGAGCTCAATAAATAAAGAAGACAGATAATTCAAAACTCTTTTCAAAACTTAATTCAAATCAATTTTTTAAATATTTTAAATATTTAAATATTTTTAAAATATTTTTAATTTTGTGAGAGACAGATAAAGAAGAGAGATAGAGAGAGAGACAGAGATAGAGTGATGAACGAGAGAGAGAGATAGACAAAGTGGTTGGTAAAAGTGTATTTTCTTATAGTGGATCGATAAATCGAGAAGGAGCTCGATAAATAGAGAAGATGGGAGTAAGAGAGTGAGCAAGACGAACATAGTAAGAGAGAAATAGACAAGTAGACAGAGAGAGATAGAGAAGAGTGATGAGTGAGAGAGAGACAGGGAGAGAGAGATAGACAGAAAAAGAGATAGAGAGAGAAAGAGAGAGAGAGAGAGATGAAGAGATAGAAAAAGAGAGAGAAACAAAAGATGAGCGAGAGATAGACAAAAAGAGAGAGAAATAGAGCGAATATTTGCTGCTAATTTTTTTCGAGTCAATGAAAAATAGATCAGGCTTGTTAAATTAATATTTTTTAATTTTATTTATTGTTTATACTTTTTACTTTATTGGAGTTTTATGACTCAGTTTGTGAAAAAAAAAATCATATCTTAGCAGTCAAAATCATTAACGCACAACTAAAAAATATATACGCACAGCCCCAGCTTATGCATTTAGTTCAATTAGCATTAAATCGCCAATTACTTTTATAAATCCCTCAAATTTAAAAAAAAAATATATATATATCTAAATTAAGTGAGTACTTATTTTGTATTTTAAAAAAATCACAAATATTTTATTTTTTAAATATATCTAAATTAAGTGAATCTAAAAAATAAACAAATTTGCTTTAAATATTTAAAAAAGTTGAAAAAATTAATTATTAAAAAATTAAGAAAAATTTTAAAATCTGAAATAATATCAATAAGTTTTATTTTTATTTTTATTTTTATTTTTATTTTTATTTTTATTTTTATTTTTATTTTTATTTTTATTTTTATTTTTATTTTTATTTTTATTTTTATTTTTATTTTTATTTTTATTTTTATTTTTATTTTTATTTTTATTTTTATTTTTATTTTTATTTTTATTTTTATTTTTATTTTTATTTTTATTTTTATTTTTATTTTTATTTTTATTTTTATTTTTATTTTTATTTTTATTTTTATTTTTATTTTTATTTTTATTTTTATTTTTATTTTTATTTTTATTTTTATTTTTATTTTTATTTTTATTTTTATTTTTATTTTTATTTTTATTTTTATTTTTATTTTTATTTTTATTTTTATTTTTATTTTTATTTTTATTTTTATTTTTATTTTTATTTTTAGGTTGTACACCCACCATCCAAAATTATTAATATCTTATTTTATTTTTTATTATCTAAAAATATTAATTTTTTAAAAAAATTTATATTTTGAGATAATAAAAAAAATAAGATATTAATATTTTTGGATGGTGGGTGTACAACCTAAACCTAAAAATAAAAATAAAAATAACTATTTTGTTTAGTCAAATTTTCAAGTGGAGACTAATGGTATTGTTATTAATAAAATAAAATAACTATTTTGTTAATTTTTTTATTTTCATTCGGCTACCAAACAATTTAGTAGCTAAAGGTACCTCTACGGCTACTAAATTTTTATTTAGTCGCCAATTGTCATATGTTTAGCTACTAAAAATTGTTTTAGTCGCCAATTGTAATATCTTTAGCTACTAAATTTTTTTTAGTAGCCAATAATCAACATTCCCCTACTAAAAAAAATTAGTAGCTAAAAAGTTGACTTTTGCCGACTAATATTATTTTTGGTAGCCAATTCCGTGACTTTTGGCGACTAAATTAGTTTTGGTAGCTAAAAGTGGTCAGCAAAAATGCTTTTTCTTGTAGTGCCCTGTCGGATCGAATTCAAATTGTCATCCCCAATCAAAGTAAAAATAAGTGTGATAGAGATTTAAAATGTTAGATTTGTTGAAAATTAGTGTTATATTATGAAAAATATTATGTAAATTAGTATTATATATTATACAAATATTTGATAATTACTTAAGATTATGTTTTAATCAACTTAACAAATTGAAACTGCCCAAACCATCTAAACCGCAATTTGATTATTTGTCAATTCGTCATTCACAGTTTAATTTATAATTTTACTCTCAAATCACACCGCACACATCCATACAGAACCACACTGCACACATCCATACTTAGGGTGTCATGACATGCCAATAATCCCTTATATAATTCCATCTAGTCAAATAAAAAAATGTAAAATAAGACTTTTAATTAATATAGTCTTTTATTTTTCATTAGAGAAATCTGATATTTTCATTTATTATTTTGGAGTCAATCTAGTAAATAAAAAATAAATAATAGGGTTTAGTTTTTTGAAATTGGAGAAATGGACGAGTTGAAATTAAAGATTTTTATAACTAATTTTATTAAATGAAGATTAATTTTATCAAATTTAACTTATGGAGAAACTTTTTTAATTATTTCTACACAATTAGTATTTACACGTAAATATCACACAAACATAAAATATTACGATATGATCATATAAAGAAAAAAAATAAACGAATTGAGTTAGCGTCGGGAGAATTCTAACATGAACCAAGACTATAAAATCTGGGATGGTTTTTTAAGTTCTCTTCAAGGTTTAGATCCCTGTTATTTTATTATAGTGATGACCTATTGTCAATTTGTTACCTCATAATCAAAATCAATGATTACTGTTGAATGCATTAGTATATATTTAATGATTTTAATTTGTACACATATATACAAATATTTATGTACGATTTTTGTAGGGTTAATTATAGTTTATCCCCTTCACTATTACTGAATATCATATTATCCTCTCAACTTTAAAACCTTACATTTAGGCCTCTCAACGATAAAAAAAATTGTAAAAAGACTTCCATTTTGTAAAGGGTGAAAGTGAAGCAATTTTGATAATTAAGAGATCTAAATATACAATTTTAAAGTTGAGAAGGAAAGATAGCAACGAGCAAGTTTGGGGTGAATTTGCCATGTATTATATCAAGAGCGGGCAAATCAATGAGGCAATGGGAGCTTGCATTACAAACGAGTCGAGCCAAACTTTTGAGTGTTCAAACTTGTTTATTTAGACTATTACTGAATATCATATTATCATCTCAACTTTAAAACCTTACATTTAGGCCTCTCAACGATAAAAAAATTGTAAAAAGACTTCCATTTTGAAAAGGGTGAAAGTGAAGCAATTTTGATAATTAAGAGATTTAAATATACAATTTTAAAGTTGAGAAGGAAAGATAGCAACGAGCAAGTTTGGGGTGAATTTGCCATTTATTATATCAAGAGCGGGCAAATCAAGGAGGCAATGGGAGCTTGCATTACAAACGAGTCGAGCCAAACTTTTGAGTGTTCAAACTTGTTTATTTAGAATTAGTAAAGTTCGCTTGATTACATAAACGAACCAAGCTCGAGT